TGAATAGTATTGAAGGCCAGAGAGTCTGTAACTAACTACTCTGCTATAATTCTTCTTAGTTCTGTTTGAATTTTTTTTGCATATTAATTTAAATCAATACTCTTTAAATAAAATATCATCTGAAGATGAAGATTTTGAAGATAAAAGTTCAGATAATATAAATATTCAATTGACTATATATAAACAATTTTAAAGTATAACTCCAAATGAGAAAATAATTTCAAAAGTTAGAAGAACTATTTACAATTCTCTTGAATATTATTGGCATGACCTAGAATATACTGAATTAACTACCATGTTATTAGATTTGCAGTTTAAATCATCAAAAGTATGGTTAAATGAAATATGAAATAAGATAATTAGCAAGCTACATACTGAATTCAAGACTTAGCAAAATACAGTTCTAACTGATAATTTAGTTAAAGATACTGATATTGAAACACCTTTATTCACCTCAAACTTTCTAAGAAAAATATTTAGCTATAGTCAAAATCAAACAAACTATGAAATTGAAATAGATAATTACTTAAATGAAATGATTACTTCATCTCTATCTGGTGATACAAATATTTATAATTGGTAGCATACTAACAAACACATCTTTCTAATATTAAGCAGGATGGCATATAAATACCTTTCAATTCCTGCTATATCTGTTCTAAGTAAATGGCTTTTTTCTGATGCAGAAAATTAGATTACTTTCAAAAGGACCTGTCTATCACCTAAGACTATTAATGAATTACTATTTGTTAAGAAAAATAGCTTATATTGTAATAAGACTTAGGCCTAAAAATTTTTTTTTTTTTTTTTGAGGTCTGGTGATCTTAGTGTAGCGGTTAGGTTGCCAGACTGCCATGCAAGAGGTCTGGGGTTCAAATCCTACTGTTGACGAATTTGAATAATTATCTAGACCTTTGTATCCAACTTACGGTAAACTCTGTTCGTTTCTGGGGGTTGTAACTCTGTAAATCACATTGCACCAATATCATCTGGATATTGGAAGTGTGATGGGGCATTTGGCAAGATGTAACATTACACGAATAAATCTTGATAGGATCTATGGGCAGGGGACCTACATGGTAGAAATCCTGAGTTGGTGAAGTAGTACAGCTTTCGATAGTCACACTAGCTAACGCTTGATCCAGAAAGGAAACTATCATCAAAAGATGCAGATCGAGTCAGGTGCACATAAATCCAGTTCACAAGGAGGATCAGTAACACCAACCTAGCTTAGCAGCTAACTAGATTAGAAGGATCTACCTTGTGAAACATCCAAGATTATAGAATATAGAAAACTGGTGAAGAGTCACAGTAGGAACTGGGATTGTATGAACATCTACAAGAGTCTAAGCTAGGTGAATTCGTAAAATAGGTACGAACCACTCTAGTAGGTATGCTTTGAGATTAACTGGCTCTGTGATACTTACAATCAGTGATGTCAATGGACATGGACATAAACATGGACAGTCCATGGACATAGATAGTCCATGGACATGGACAGACAAAAATTATGTCCAAGATAATTTATATGTCTAATATAATAACTAAGCTATAATAAAAAATTATTATTTGATACATTTGATATAAATCTAAATACAAAAAGATTTTTATATTCAGATTCTCTTACTTATATAAGTTATCAGGTTATATTATATTTTATAACTTGTACTATTTATTTTATAACTACATGGCCAAAAAAAGATAATGGACTAGTAGAGGGTAGAATCAATGAATAATTATTCAAAAAATTGAGCATCGAAATAAGCTTTTATTTATTGAGTTTTTAATTTGATTATCATCGAGCATTTTTTCCACATTACTAATTTTCTGCTGGGGCAGTCTTTGGTAATAAAAGGAATTCTTGATTTTTTTTTTTTTTTGTACATGTACCTTCTAACCTGTCTGTTGTCAAAATTAGCAATTCCTTAATTTATAACATACTCTCGAATTGGCCCTGTATAATTCCAGATAAATTAATGTTGCTTGCATAAAGCTCTCACGTGTAGTGATTTGAATAAATTACAAGTAGGATTAAAAATTACATTTTACAACTTTACATTACAATGAAATTATATTGTAACTTACGAAACTGTAATGTAACTTAACATTAAATAATGCATTATAAAGTTTTGCCAGTATTAATAGATATCTATCATTATATTCAGAGCTATAATTTTTATACTCATTTTTACAAAAATTTTGTCCAAAATTATTCACACGATCAAAATTACGTGTAATTTTGATTTCAGAAACTTACACAAACTTACGTAAAATTACGGTACCCTAGTTCGTATTCTCACGCCCTTGAGTACCTCATTTTATAAATGACTATCTTAGAAGAAATTATCTTTAATGCTTGCATTAAAGAAAATATGAGAATGTATAAATATGCAGAAGTCTCTTTTCAAGCCGTAACAATGTGCACAAAAATATGAGAAATAATTTTATTATTGCATTTTGTAAACCTTATGAATATCAAATTTAGATTGTGGTAATTGCAGCATTAAGAAACAAGAAATTTTTAAACTTAATCGAGGCACATTGCATAAATTAGAACATATTCAATAAAAAAGTTACGAAACAAATTTATTGATAATAAAGTCAAAATTTAATAAAAATAATTTTATTTTTTTCAAAAAACACCTGCGTTATATAGATACTGTATAAGCGTATAAGTATATAAAATTTTGAAAAATTGAAATCAATATATACTGAAAATGTTCTGAAATTAAAAAACGATTTAAGTTCTATATCATCGTAAATATTTCTTTGAATTCTAAATAATATATAGTAACAATTTAGTAATAACGTAATACTATTTAAGACCTTATTTATATTTTACTTAACTGCTATAATAAAATTTATTCACAAAATTTTACTTAGTTCCAATTTTTTAAAGAGGGTACCCAATTTCCATTTCGCATTAACATCAACCGTGGGATGAGTATTATTTATAAGAAGTTCATCTTCATTATCATTTTCCTCTTCAAAATCAGTTTCATCAAATCGCTGCCTTTCTTCTTCTAGCATATCCATCCATTCTTGTAAATAGTTATCGAAATTTGAAATACTTGTAAGTTCATCTAATTCATCGTCTGAAGATTCTTCTAGTTCTATATTTTCTGAAGATATATTTTCCGAAAATATATTTTCTGATAATATATTTTCTGATGATATATTTAATTCCACATCTTCAGAAAAAGAATTATCTCTGCTGATTAAAGTTGACATTTCAATATTAGGGTTGGTTTGTTCAACAGAATCCATTTCAATTATATTAGGTTGCTGCTCGGGAATATCATCATATGCATATATTTGATTTTGTGATTGAAGCCGATGATTATACATAATATCCGCACGTAACTTGCTCATTTGTAAAGCTCTTGAAGGCTAATATTAATTTAATAAAATAATAGTTTAAAACAAAATTTACTATAAAATTTATATACAATTATATTTACCAATAATCGATTACGTCGATTATTTTGTAAAAATCCCATACAACTCCAAAGCCGCTCTACAGCAGCAGCATTTACATATATTCCAAAAATTTGGATTGCAACCAACCCTAATTCTTCTGTCGACAAACCTGCAAAACTCCAATATTGATAAATATCACCATCAAATTGGTTCCATGTATCTATATCAAAAGGATATTTTTTTAAACGAAAGTCATCAAATTCTCTTAAAATTCGTTTTGATTCCTTTCCAAACCATGCATGATAATAATACACTAGCCATGGACCAAAATTAGTATAATTAATATTAATATTAAACTGGTCTATACGATAGTCAGGATGTAAAAGACAGGCAAGAATTAATAAAGGTTGCTCCCACTCATGCCATCGACGTTCTAAACGTGATATAATTTGAGTGCTAAGTTGAATATCTTCATGATCATTCCAAAATTGAATAAGATAACCTAAACTTAAGATAACTTGATGTAATCGAGCTTTATCGGATTGTAACCTATTTAAAATAATACAATAGGGCTGGAGAATATGGAGTAAATAATAAATATTAGTCCAGAAATTTGCAGAACTAATAATTTTATATATTTCACGTTTTAATTTTGGTTCTGCTCTAGCACGTAACGTTTCTCTAATGGGTGGTTCGAACTTAATAGCAAGAATCTACCAAAATAATAATAAAAATATTAATTTAGAATTTATCATTAAATAGGCTCAGATTAAATCACTTAAGATCAAACTTATATTAAAGACTAAAAACACGATTACATATCTTTTAATAATATAAATTAAATAATAATTATATAATTATTAATTTACCTGTAGTGCTTTTTGTGACCGTATAAGGCTTGAACAAATATTATAAAAGCTGTTCCACTGTGTTTCTCCAGGATCATTAATTGTATAATACTTCTTATATTTAGCATATTGTTCATCTTTCAACTTTGCAATAAAAAATTTATGAACTGGATTTTTAAAATAAGTAGCAAGACGGACTGCTTGATCCATCGTTTTTTTAAAATCAGTTGATTCTTTAAAGATCTCACCAATACATAAATTCACTTGATGAGCATAACATGGAAGAAATACAATCGATCTTCTTGCAATTCTTAAACGGCGTCTATAAAATATCTAATTAGTTTTTGTTGATTTTAAAATAAATTAATAATAAGTACCTAGCAGCTGCATAAGCACCCGCGCTATCTGTTACAATAGCAGTGATTTTGATTGATTGTACATTTAACTCAGCAAGCATTATATTTATTTTTTCTATTACTTCTAAATGTGTTTCACGCTCTGAACTTATATTTAATGCTTTCCAAACATATGGTCTACCTTCTGAAGTAATTATTACTACTCCTAACAAATGCTCATTTCGAACATTAGTCCAACCATCAAAGGTAAGAGTACTTCCAATTTGATCTTCTTTTAATATAGCGAGCATTGCATTGTCAGATTCATGAGTCGCATCATTCAAAATTCTTCCTCCAAGTACACGTCGGTCCGGAAGTTTAAGAAGTGGGTTAAGAAATTCAAACAATTCAGCTGCCTCAGGTTTATTTACCCAATGCAGTGCCCATCCGCAAGAAACTGTAAGCTGTAAAAGAAGTTGATGAAACTTTTTTGTATCCTCAGGTGACAGAGCTCTAACTATATAATCATCCATTGGTCCAGAAAATGATGATCGAATAATTTTTGAAGCCGAAGAACGTGAACTCAAAGATGTAGTTTCAGTTGTTTCTATAAAAATATATGTTTGTAAAAAATAAATAAATAAATAAATAAATGGAATAAATAAATAAATAAATTCACCTTCCGTAGGGGTATTAATTAGTTTAAAAACATTTTTCCTCTCTTCAGGTGTTGTTTCAGTAGCAAAATTTGGACATTTCTTTAAATGTGCGATTATTCAGTCTTTTTTATTGGGATAACATTTTTCAGAACCCTTCACTTCACCCAATCGATTTATACAGGGTTTGCAATATACTTTCGTATTATTTTTATTTAATTTTTCACTAGTTTTGACAATATATTTATCCAGTATTAGTGGTAATGGCATAGCGATTGTGTTATATTTGGCTTAATTGTAA